AGTTCGCATATCATGTGTGGAAGAAAAGGCACCGAAAACGGGACTTCAAGTGAATGTAGAGAAGACACAGGTGATGAAGATACCCAACCAACGCCACCACCACCAACAACAACGAGCTCCAATCACCATGAACGGGAGAAGCCTAAAGTAAGTTGTCTCGTTCACCTACCTAGACATCATGGTTTCAACTACAGGCGACATAGACGAGGATGTCAAAACCATCCAGGATCGGAAAAGCAAGACAGGCTTTCATTAATCTGAAATCAGTGTGAAAATCTACTGCACTCAGCACAAAGCGTGAACAAGATCCGGATTTTGAAGTCAGTGCTTATATATGATAGTTCAGAGGCTTAGCGTGTCACGAAAAGCTCCTTCAACAAACTACAGACATTCATCAACAGCTGCCATCTACGCTGGGTGGATACTGAAGATCAGATGGCTAGAATAATAAGAACAAGCAACAAGGAACTGTGGGAACGAACCAACCAAGCACGAACCTATCGCCCAACAAACATGCAGAAGAAATAGGAGATGGATTGGATTGGGCATACACTGAGAAGGCCGATTGGAGACATCACGCGTCCCTCGAGTGGAATCCAAGTGGGAAACGACGATTTGGGCGTCCTAGCTGATGGTGACATGTAGGAGATGATATGAAGAAGGAATGAAAGCTTATCGTCAATCGTGGAGCGAGGTTCTAAAGATTGCAAAGAAGAGAGTGGAATGGAGATGTGTTACTGAAGCTCTATGTTCCACTAGGAACCTAAGGGGAAAAAAAAAATCAATAATCATGTGAGGAGAAATGGAGTGTTAGAACGAAACCCACACTTATCAACTTTGTAACAGTTAACAATCTCATTTCAGTCATCTAGTTAACAATGTAAAATGTTCTCCTCGTTATTAATATCCTTTACATTACTTAACTTCTTATAATAACACAACTCGGAATGTTGTAAAAAGAGGAGTATATCCATACATATATCATGCTGAGAACTCCAAATTCTACTGAAAATTGATTGGAATAAAGTGAATGGATGCTTCGATATTGGTTGGATTTTCAACTTTTAGATGATAACAATCAATATTTACTAGGAATGGAATCTATATGGTGCGTTTTATGATTGGTTATCGATATGAGGTCAAGTGGGAAAAATATTACCCACTGGGAGTTTGGTATATCCAAGTGACGAGTCATAATCTTGAGGAAACGCTTGTCCTGGATTTCACTGCTAGCCACTATCTATCAGTAATATTGGTATAAATTGTAAGCGCATACTTCGATTCTACCATGCTTAATGTTTCAAAGGAATATAGGCTGTCATTGAAATTCCTCCCTTTCTTTGCGATAATAACTGTGGCTTTATGTATGGAGGAGATTTAGTGTTATTACGGTGTAATACAAGCAATAACACTAAACCTATACCCGTCGCACAAGAAGTGGCTATCGTGGTTCGATGGTGTAGTGGATAACGCACTGGCGTTTGAAGCAGTCTCTCCCGACTTCGAATCCCTCTGGGAACAACATCACTCACTGGGAAGCAGGTACATCCAGCTGACCAGTGATTCCCAAATAGGACGTAATGCATATCCCGGATTCTATTGCTGGCCACTGCCCATCATTACTAAATATGGAGGAGATTTTTAAAATATTCTCCGTTTTCAACTTGTTACTTCATCCAACCAACTGAAAGGATAACGCTTAAGGTATCTGAAATATTCCTGAACAGTAACCTTGAAATCGACCCATAGTAGAACAGGAAGTGTATTACAACGTCAGAACATGCGCATATATATATATATATCTTCACAATGACCTTGATTGTTTCTAGGTCTATCCTACCGATTTCGTCTCTTCAACCAATCAGATTTTTATACGTTGGTTTATGTGTCCATTCTCAAGACTTCAGCGTAACACGATCGGTTGTGAAATCCTTCAGGGATTAGGGACCTCTTTTCAGGATCCAGACAATATCACCGCACATTATAACACTATCAGATCAGTAGAATATACGTAAATTCATATACTATTTCAGAATAAAACACTAAGGGAATCAGGGTCGGGAAATGTATACCAATTCCTTAATCTAGAGTTTTTGGCTTTCCTTCAGAAGTGAAAATATCTTGTGTCCATCTAGGAAATGAACTGATAACTTTGGCAGATATTCATTAGTTAGAGGCAATTGCTATGGTTTCCGAAAGATGAATCCGCAACCTCAAGGGAAGCAATGTCCCGCTTGCGATTCCAATTAGCACCATCCAGAATTGTAGTCAGTGACCTTACTACTGAGCTATTCGCATCGCGAATAATCTCCTGGATTAGATACATTGGTCAGTCACTGGACAGTAACCGATTTCATGTTGTCCAGTCACTGTCTTGTCACCGTAAGGATGATAGAAATGCGGTGAAAATGTATCATTCATATACAATAGTTCTTATAAACATATAAAACCTCTAGGTCAAAAGTTGAATAGGTTATTCTGATTGGTCGACCTTAGGATAAAATCGTCCAATATAGTTTTTCTTGACTACACAGCGCAGCGACATAAAGCAAAAATTGAGCGGGTTAATAATTTTAAATGTTGATTTTTTTTTCAACCACTTCCTATGACAAACGATAATTTCATTAGTTATGATGATGAAAAGTGGCTAGTAATGGAATCTAGGATGCTTATTTCGTCTTTCTAAGTACTCATCAGCCGGTGAGTGGTATTGTTCTCATCAAAAGTCAAACCCAAAATGATACGTAGCAACAAGAAGGCAGACAATAGGGGAGTTGTTTTCAAATCATGATCAGATCATGTTCAGGTCATAATTTATGCATGCACTGATATGAGAAGCTGATTAGAGGAATTCGACGTCATACAAGAAATGGGACTGGTTCATTTATGGCTTCACTTTCTGAGAGTTTTGTAAATATATATATATATATATGTCATGTATTTGCTGAATAAAAATTGTTGTTGTCGCTGTTCTTGTAGTTACAGGCCATCTTTGTCTTCTGATTTCTCCTCGGCTCAGTGACGTAGAACGTACTCAAGGAGGTCAGTCATAAAGGTATTCAGTTAGCCAGTATATGGGAATCAAATACGATCCCCTCCGACTGGTCTAAGTCACTCATTATCCCAGTCTTCAAGAAAGACGAGAAGTCCTCTTGTGATAACCACAGGGGAATCAGCCTGACGAACATAGTGTCTAAGATCCTAAGTTCTATAATTCTCCGACGCCTGAGTAGAGCTCGGGAACACCAAGCCCGAGAAAACCAGGCAGGCTTTAGACCTGGCCGTGGATGTATCGACCAAATATTCACACTGCGCCAGGTTCTGGAACATATGCATGCTTACAGACGCCCGACAATAGCTGTATTTCTCGACCTGAAGGCAACATTTGACTCCGTTGATCGAGAAGTCTTATGGCAATGTCTATCACTGAAAGGCGTGCCTAGTAAGTACATCACCCTATTGAAAGCTCTCCAGTCGAACACTTGTGGGTGTGTTAGAGCCTAATGCGAGTTGTCCAGGGAGCTATACTCATCGAGTGGTGTCCGTCAAGGATGCCCACTATCCCCATTCTTATTTAATTTTATCATAGATATACTTATGGAGGTTTCCCTCTCGTCACCTGATTACACAGACGTTGACCCAATCACAGGTGAATTTTCTTTAGATCTAGAATATGCAGATGACATAGTCCTGTTAGGTGAAGATGCTGACAATATGTAGAGTCTTCTGAACACTTTGAGTGGGAATTTGAAAATGTTTGGGATGCGATTTTCACCACCCAAATGCAAATTTTTGCTCCAGGACTGGTCTTCAGCGGTGCCCCACCGCGGCTAACAATAGAGAGTGAAGTGGTTGAGTATGTTGACCACTTCACTTACCTGGGAAGTAGGATCAGTCGTTACCTGGTGAGTTAGTTGCCGATGAGATTTCTGCACAAATACAAAAGGCTCGATTAACTTTTGCCAATTTGCGCCACCTATGGCGCCGCCGTGATATCCAGTTGTCTATTAAGGGTGGCGTGTACTGCACAGCAGTCCGCTCTGTTCTACTGTATGTCTGTGAAACATGGCCATTTGAAGTGGAAGATATAAGAAGGCTTCAGGTGTTTGACCACCGTTGCCTTCCTAGTAAGTATACGCCGTATTCTGTGGTGTCACCACACCACATGAGTAATGCAGAAGTCAGGTGTACAGTTTTAGGGAGGGAGAAGAGGTAAGTCAGTTGACGAGGTTGTGAACCTTCATAGACTGAGATGGTTGGGACACGTACTACGTATGCCTAGTCACCGATTGCCTCGTCACACAATGTTGGCTGAGGTGGGTCCAGGTTGGAAAAAGGGTGGAGGTGGCCAGACTAAAACATGGCACCAATGTATGAAGTCTCTGACTGTTGGTTTAAGCCATGTAGGACGTTGTAGACTAGGTGGTTGGGGTGCACGGGATAACAGGAACGATTGGTTGGAGACTCTAGGTGATATGGCTTAGAACCGAAGTCAGTGGCGCAGATGTATACACACATTATCCTCATCTTAACAACGCTATACCGAATCTCACCATTTTGTCACTCCTCTTTCCTTTCTTCTCGTACTTTATATTTCTTCTGACTGTATTCACTTATCTTCATCCTTCACCTCCCTACCTTTTTACTTGATGTGCTGATATGAGGTGTGGCAACTCGGAGAGTTACGCAGTAATGCCTGGTCCTATGTTGATAATGATGATGATGATGATGATGATGATGATGATGATGATGATGATGATGATGATGAGTCATTATACTCACTCTCGCAACCCTACCACTGGGTCAAAACCCACAGCCTTCTACTTCACAAGCCAGAGTTTTTGGTATTCACTAGGTCACTAATGGGTGACAGAATCAATCTGAGTTTACATTTTCTACTCACCTAATTCATCATTTAACAAGGTGAACATATACAAACTAGGTGAGTTTATATCATAATAATTTTAGCTCAGTTTCACTGTATTTCTTCTTTTATTCAGAAGTTAAACAATTTCAGCATAAAGATGATGTACGCATAAAACTTGAAAGTGAATTATGCCAAAAAGTACGTGAAGCAGTAAAAACTCCACCACGTGAACGATTAATTCGTAGACGTTTAAATGAATTTCAGTATGAAGTACGTAAACGTTTAGAAGGTGAAAAACAGAAGAAACATTTAGCTACACAAATGAATGAAGTTATCACCTTAGGATTGATATCTGGTACACATTCTGTTGACAATCCATTGAATATGAATAAAGAAGTTGGTATCATGGATTTACGTCTACATCCAGAATCATATCAACAAAATTTAGGTTGGTATAAACAATCTGATACAAAGGTGAACAGTCAACGAATACAATGGAATAAAAAGAACATTTTTACCGAAGGAAAATTTAAGAAGATAAAATTTTTACTGATTGACCAGAAGGAATGTAAATCTGGTAGCGATTCGACGGAAGCAACGTCTATCGACACCCATGAAGGGTCACTGAAAAACTTGAATAAAATGATCACTTTCAGAGTAGGTTGTATAAATTATGTTTTATTACTCATTTTGTCAGTGTCATCTATGCTTAGCTAGGTAGAAGAGGAAAGGGGGGGGGGGTCAGGAGGAGGGCACTAGTTCGTCGTCTATGCTATTTACAAAGAATCCTCGAGAGGTGAGGAATCGAACCTTCTGGAAATCTTACTAAAATAGATGAAAACTGATCAGTGTCATTCACCTTTGAAATGTTGAACATTTCGCTACTATCATATATGAAATATTTTCTGTAAACAGTGAGGAAATCATCTTGTAGACGATCTATGGAAAGCTTTTCTTGATATCAATCATAAGGTAATGCCAATTTATTAGACCAGGATAAAACTTTCACTTAGAAAAGGATTGTGATGACAACTAGTTTCGTGAGAACTGAACTGTTATTAAGCTTCGATACGGGGGAAAAGGGTAGGCATGGATCCAAAATGGCTTTTGATCAGAAGAAGCCTAGTGTCGATCTTAACAGAGTATGTCAGAAGGTATGACTCATCATATTCAACTCCGTAAATGAAATTAGTCTCGATTTTAAACCTCTACTCGTCTACTTTAGTCCCAATGATTCGCTGCTGTTTCTGCTATGACCAGTAGTACGACGTAACAGCCTACAAGCGGTGCGAACCTAATACGCAAACGAATCGACTGTAAACGTTAATCAAAGCGTCAACCAACACAAGAACAAAAATGTCATCGATACATGATCAGAAAACGTATCACTGATAGACAACTTTTACTATTTCAACAACAGTTAAGAGGAATGCTGAATATGCATGGTTGTAAACGACCTTGACAAATACTAAGTCCATATGTAGGTTAAAAGACTTGATAACCAATGAGAGTTCAGCTTTCATAGAAATGGGTGAAAAACAATCATTTTAAGGTTATACAGTTTTCACATATGATAAAACTATCTTTCTCAAAGTATCATAATATGTGAAGTTGGATAACGTTAGAAAGAAGTTTCAAAATGGTTAAATCAAGTAATGGAACCAATTTATACAGTCTCTGACTCTCTATATTGAGACAAATGAGGAGGTATGGATACTGACTTAGTTGGGGGTGGGTGAACATCTCTCTTTGACTAAACTCCAGTAACGACTTACTATTCAACTGACAAACAATATAAGTTGATATTTAGTTGAAAAAGGATTAACAATTGTAAAACCTTAGAGAATTGTCAGCCATACGCAGGTGAAATACTAACCTCCGGGGCTCGAACCTATGACCTTCGAATTCTACAACAAATTGTTTACTAGTATTGACATAATAACAGATAAGTAAACTTCACATTGTTTATACTATTTATATTTCCTCCTCCTCCTCATCCTTTTGATAAGATTTTCTCTCTTTTCTTTTCTCTTTATAAAGGATACTTTTAATAGAAATGATTCTCTATTTTGCTTAAATACTACTCCAGATATTGTAAAAGGATATTATCATTCGAATATTGATCAAGTAAATACTCATAATGATAATAATCAGAGAATGAAGATATCATCATTAAGATCATGTTCACATACTATATGGAATCGATTAGAAGAGATTAAAAGGGCTAGTGTATACATAAAACAACCATTGAACAATTCAATGGATACTATAACCTCATTGACAAGATTCCAACATGATAATGAATATAAATTAATATTGAATGATACATTTACATTCAATTGGAATACAATAATATATAATGATAATAGTATAAATCAATCTACTAATGAATATTTACATCAATATCTATATAATTACAATTTATTGGAGGATTATTTAAGTTATGAAGATGTTCAGCTATTGAATAAATATTCTAAACTATATCAGAGTAAATTATTATTAGATAAAAAGAGTAATAGAAGTAAACAGTGTCATATTGTTACACGTCAGTCAGTTTTAGAACAATTTGGAAGATTAACTGATGATGAGAAACAGGTAATTACAACATATTATTACTACTATTATTATTATGTAATAGTAATCACAATGTTATATAACATGATGCCAACTTGAGTACAGTTTATTCGAGTGATTTCAATGCGCCATTGACAAGAAGTGTCGTACCCTCCAACCCCTTAATACCCCTGATAATACTACCACCAGTACTCACATTGCTACTACTACTCACACTACTGCTACTAACAATACTACTGCTACTAACACTACTACCACTACTACTACTACTACTACTCACACTACTACCACTACTACTCGCGCTACTACTACTACTGCTACTACTCACACTGCTATTACTACTCACACTACCGCTAGTACTACTCACACCACTACTGTTACTACCCACACTACCACTACTACTATTAACACTACTACTACTCACACTACTACTACTACTACTACATTATTGCTACTACTGCTACTACTACTACTACTACTACTACTACTACTACTACTACTACTACTACTACTACTCATACTTCTACTACCTCTGCTACTACTATTGCTACTACTCACACTAGTACTACTGGTATTGCGCTACTCATCGTCATCCGAGAACAGATCATAGAATGGCAGTCAACTCAACCTCAACTTCATCGGCTTTGAAAAGGCTTTCGATCGTGTTGACTGAGAAGTAATTTTGCCAGCTGCTTCCATACTATGGTTTTAGTGCTACAAAACTTTATCAACCTTATTTAGCAGCATCTATATGAGAATACTACATGACAAGTGATTCACAATGAAAGCTGAGTGATACCATTGAATTCAAGATACGAGTAAAACAAAGTTGTCGCCTGTTATCACCAATGATGATCTTTGTGACTGTGGTCGATACGACTGGACCGGATCAGGTAACAAACTATGGGGAGCGAGAAGATGAGCATACGCTGGCTGTTTGACCAACGAAAAGATCCTAGAAGATTTAGATTTCACCAATGATGATTTCTGTCTAATGTGTTACGTTGCACAAACTCCAAGATCTACAGGCGAAAACTAACAAGTTGACAAAAGAGGCAAGGCATCGAAGATGGGAATTTATTCAGGTAAGTGTAGAGAAGATAGACAGACGTGATGAAGATACCCAACCAATAACAACGACAACAACCACCGATCACCATCAATATGAGAAATCTAGAGGAAGTTGTCCGTTTTGCCTATCTACCTACCTAGGAGGCAGCATCGTTCCAACTACAGGCTGTGGCATAGGCACAGATGATGATGTCGAAGCCAGTAACAATCACAAAGACAGCAAGACGTTGTGGAGATCTACTGCACTCCACTCAGCATGTGGAACAAGATCCCGATTTTCACCACTAAGTCAATCAAGTCAGTGCTTCTATGTAATGCTTCACAGACTTGATGCGTCACGAAAAGCATCATCAATAAACTATAGACAATCATCAGCAGCTACCACCCACGCTTACTCGACACTGAAGATGGAGATCAGATGACCAGAACAATGAGAATAAGCAAGGAGGAACTTTGGCCTGGTAACTAAACCGATGAGGCAATTACCTACCACTCAACAAATATTCATAAGAAGAGAGTGGAGATGAATTTGATTTGACATACACTGAGAAGGCTGTTTGGGGAGATCACGTGTCCGACTAGGCCGTCGAGTGGCAGCCAAATAGGAAACGACGAGTTGGGCGTGACATGTAAGAGATGATGTGAGGGAGAAATGAAAGGTTATAAGGAGTAGTGGAGCCAGGTTGGAAAGACTTCACAGAAGAGAATAAAATGGCAACGTGACACTAAAACCCTATGTTCCACTACGAATCCATAGGACAAATAATAATAGTAATAAATTACATAACAAAGAGATGAGAACATTCACTCCATCTACAACTTTCTTGAAAATGCATAGTTAACCTGTATGGACAATCATATTAACAATTTGATACATGATCCCTAAATAGTAACATGGTGTGTACTCACTAATCAGTATGCTTTCTTCATCGCACAGCAGACGAGCTAAATACACCATGGTATTCTAGAGTTTTTATCTGTTGTAATACATGCATATCGTTTTATATACTTGCTCCTTGTCTTTCCAGATGACTAACTTGCAGAGAGATTCGAGTGAAGAGGATGTTGGTCATTTGATAAAATAACTCCTGTCAGATGTTTACATAAGCTAAGATGTTTGTCTACAACACTATCAGTTGGGAGATTCATGAAGGTAAATCATTAGTTCTGGTGACAATCTTCAAAGTTCTATGCAATACACCAGTCTCTTTTTTCAGTAACCTACGAGAAAATAAAAGAGAACAGGGAAAATGCAGGAGTTTATGAAACACAAGATGAGAGGCTATTATATCAGAGACTCCCATCTTTTCTAATATACAAAGTTAGGTGGAAGATTCTTTTTGGATGTTAGTAAGATATGGGAAGACAAGGAAACGTCCGGAGAAAAACACACACGTTGAGATAAATCACACTTGTAACATTCTCTAATACACAACCATCAATCGAACAGGGATCATGAGAACTAAGCAGCTCACATAAGTTATGTTCACGTCTAAAACTAAAGTTTATGGTCTGAGATTTTGAAGAATTATGCATAAGACCACTGACAGGGGGAGCCGTCGTCTAACAGTAGATAGGAAATCATTCAATTGGGAGTAGTCTGTTGAAGAGGAGACGGGTCAGGTATGGAAACTGTCAGGTCATCAGCATGTTTGACGAAACTGATACCAGGTAAAGGTGACAAGTCATACAGAAAGAACGAGAAATGACATGGGTTAAGGATGGCTTTTTGAAGAAACACCAGTCACAGTAAACAATGGGATAGATCGCTTCCATCTGTGAACAGTAGACTGTCTTCCTTCAGGGAAAGAGGAATGCAGCCAGCTGATTGTCCATGACTCGGTATTTGTCCCGGTCAGTCTGTCCAACGAAAGTGGTCATGATGTGAATGGTTTGTTGTGTGCCTTCAAATTGGCTGGTTCGTCGAAAAGATGAAGGTCAGCATCAATGGAGAATCTCGTCGAACCTTAGCCTATTGATGACGAAGGAGTTATTTGCTGCTTCGACTGGAAAACTTGATTAGTAGTCATCAGTTATCGCTGGTGTTGGTGACGTGACTGCCTCCCATACTTGCTATGTCTATTCAAGTATACTATAGAAGTTTGTGATAGCTGCATACGGACATTACAGTACACCTTCGAATTCTTTCATAGATATCTCATTCCACTTTTTATTAAGTGTTCTCGATGTTTTATTCATCGCTGGCCACCATCAGTTGGAGAGCCATTAAATAGCTGTTTCGTCCTAGTGTGAGACACTTCAAAAGTGCACACCTATGACCCCACCCCCCTGGGATGGAATACAGGATCTTCAGGTTCCTCGACGAGCACTTTACAACTAGGCCACTGGGGTGAAATCCAGTAGCAACTGGAAAAGTTCCATTTTTCCGGTGATTTATTTGACATACATTCAGTTTTAATGTTTTCACGCATAAATCACTGATCACCACATGAAAACATGGAGCATTTCGAAGTCACATGAATGCCTAGACAATCTTTCAGGCTGTTGTTCTATGGACCGGTCTAGACTTCTTGTCATTGAGCAAAATAATAACTCGTACTAACAGTGGATAGCGGCTTTTGGATAGTGGAATCTATAAGGTGCTTTCTGTCTCACTTTCGACTGGACGTACCTCTCAACCCGGCCAGTGAGTGACAGTGTTCCTGATCAGACTCAGACCCGGAACTGATCACTTCAGACAACACAGAGCTCGTTACGATTCGTCCTGCTTTCCAGTCCTAATGTGGACAATATCCCAACGATATCAAGGCCTTAGCACAGAAGTGCACAAGCCAATAATATGCAATCAGTTCGGTCCAATGAATGATGAAGAAACATTCTAGCTTCTCATTCCAATCCAAATGTAACTGAATTAGAATGAGATAAGGGGGCGGGCATCATATCGATTATCATTTGAGAATCTGAGATAACAGTTATGTTTTAGCAGACTACTATTAATATTCGGTGATGATTGAAGGTGAGATGAAAATCTAGACCACTGCCCGAAATTCGAACTAGTGACCTCCGGGTTTCCAGCCCGATGACCTACCAACTGATCTAGCTACGAAGTTCAACTGCTGACCAGATTTTTTCCAATTGGGGTTTTTGCCCGGCGACTACCATGTGAATTCATGACTTGTTACTATGCCTTGATCATATTCACACACTGACTGCTGCCTAGTCAGGATTTCTCATTCCAATCCAATAAGAATGAGAGGGGGTGGGCATCATATCGATTACTATTTGAGGATCTGAGATAGCAGTTGTGTTTTAGCAGACTACTATTCATATTCGGTGATGACTGAAGGTGAGATGAATATCTGAACCACAGCCGGTCACCTGATGGTCGCTGGTTCGAATCCGGCCACGGTCATCTCACCTTCAATTATCACCAAGTATTTTTAACACAATCGAAAGATTTGTGTACAACTTTGTACTTACACTTGACTGACTCCTTTGAAAGTGTGGAAGCGATGGGATGGTTGGATAATCATTGAGACAAATATGTAACAGCCTTACTTCAAAGATCAGTCTTCAATTGCATCAATCTACCTTCAAGTATAATGAAGATAGAAGTTGAAGTAAAAATTGAACTAACCATCTCCTACTGGCATCACAAAGAAGTGGACATATTCACAGAGGAACTAAGCAAAATGTTCAATGTTTCAAGTATGCAATCTCTAGATTTGATTAGTAACCAAATTTCCCTGTTAAACTGATGGAACATTAATTCGGTCAAATTGGTTAACATTGGACTAAATTCTGTTCAAAATTGAATGTTTTCTCCACCTTATTGTCATTCTTGTTTTGTTTCAGATACTTAGATAAACTTATTAACAGTTCATTGCATAAGGAATATGAATATTCTACATAATTTTATGAAAAATTCTCAGTTTTTTCTAAGGATATTTAGTCATATTGATTTCAGGTTATAATTCATTATGGACTGATTCTTGAATTTCCAATGAGATACTAATAGGCTGTCACCCAAGAAAGTGGGTTATTTTCAGTCAGTCAGTCAGTCAGTCAGTCAGTCAGTCAGTCAGTCAACTATGTTGTCGAAAGTTTCCATCCAACGATTTCATCTGTTACATCGACTCCCTGTGACACGTCTACATTTCCATACACGGCTCAGGTTAACAACCAAAAGACTTCACGACCTGATATCTTCTAATCTGGTCGCTTTCAACTTTTTCCAATCCGGTTATTGTATTTTAATGAATAGATAATGTCATAGGAGATAGTCAGATGGTATACGTAACATATGTTCTAATCAACTGACTTACCTCTTCTCCTTAAAACATTCTTCATCTGATCAACAGGAACTGCTAAGTTAGTTTGTAACCTTCCACGCTACTCTAATCTCAGCCATCTTGAGAACCTTAAGTAACTTTATCTAGTGTTCCATTTACGCAAGATAACCTAGCCTACAAATTATTGTTCAAGGTCATTCGCCGTTTGGAATAAAAATATTTTCATCCCACACCTTCATTGGTCAGATTAATTTTATTGAACAATGTTGTCCTTGCACTTGATTGGTGGTCTACTGGCTTCATTTTCTGAGTAACAGTTGTATATAAATACTACGTTTTTCGTCAAATAAAGTTATCTTCCTTAAGTCAGTGACAGGCGTATCTTTTGTGTTCTGATTTTCACGGCTGATTGAAGTATAGGGTGTTGAGGAGAACAATCCCACTACTCGTATCCAGTCAAGTTACGTTACTATCTCGTTTTGTTCATTTTTAAAACCCAATTCCTAGCCCAGTCCATATACATCACGAGTTTAAACATATAAGTCAATGTAGAGTTGGCTAAGTTCACTTAACACGTCTGAGTACAAACATTTTAATCCCAATTTGTGCATTCCTCGAAAAGTTTCTGACTGAAAACGGATATCTAGTACAATTTTGTGATAAAAACATTAAAACTCAAACAGTAAAGACAGATAGTGTTATTGCCTTACTATAACTAGAACTACACAGGTCATCAACATCAACATTAACTTAGGACCAGACATTACTCAGTAACGATCCAACTTGCCACACCTCATATCACTAAATCAAGTAGAAAGGTAGTGAGATGAAGGATGAAGATAAGTGAATGAAGTCAAAAGAAATATAAGGTATGAGAAGAAAGAAAGGAGGAATAGGAAAATGGTGAGATTTGGTACAGCGTCGTTAAGATGAGGATAATATGTGTGGAGATACATCTACGCCACTGACATCAGTCCTCAGCCATGCTATCACCTGGAGTCCCGCCGACCCCAACCCAACCACCTAGTCTGCATCGTCCCACATTACATGGCTCAAACCAACAGTCAGAGACTTCATGCATTGGTGTAGTGTTTTAGTCTGGCCACCTTGAGTCTTTTTCCAGCTTGGACCTACTTCTGCCAACATAGTGTGACAAGGCAATCAGTGACTAGGCATACGTAGTGCGTGACCAAACCATCTCATTCGATGAAGGTTCATAACCTCGTAAACTGATTTACCTCTTCTCCCTTTCTAAAACTCTACACCTAACTTCAGCATTACTCACGTGGTGTGGTGACATCACGGAATACGTCCTATACTACGAAGGCAATGGTGGTCAAACACTTGGAGTCTTCTTATATCTTCCAGTTTCAGTGGCCATGTTTCACAGCCGTACATTAGAACAGATCGAACTGCTGTGCAGTTCGCTCAACCCTTAATAGACAATCGAATATCACGGCGGTGCCATAGGTGGCATAATTTGGCGAAAGCCAACCGAACTTTTTGTATCCGTGCAGAGATTTCATCGGCCACTGAGCCATCAGGGTTGATCCTACTTCCCAGATAAGTGAAGTGGTCGACACACTCAACCACTACACTCACTCTGTATTGTTAGGCTTGGTGGAGCACCGTTGAAGACCAGTTGTGTAGCAACAATTTACATTTGGGTGGTGAGAACTGCATCCCAAACATTCTCAAATTCCCACTCAAAGTGTTCAGAAGACTTTGCATCTTGCCAGCGTCTTCATTTAGCAGGACTATGTTATCTGCATATTCTAGGTCTAACGAAAAATCTCCTGTGATTAGATCAACCTGTGTAACCTAGTGACGAGATACAGACCCCCATAACAACATCTATGATGAAATTGAATAAGAAATACACAGGTAATATCGAGGCATTCGCACAGAGGCCTATATGCCAATAGAGACCGATCATTTCGGTCCATAAACGGTGGTATAATACAAGCACTAATACTAAAATCATACCCGTCACACAAGAAATAGCTATCGTGGCTTGGTGGTTGTAGTGGATTCGAACCAGTGACTACGAGGTTTCCGGATTTCGTAGCTGAGTTGGTAGAGCATCAGGTTGTGAACCTGGCGTTTACTGGTTCGAATACTAGTCTGCCGAACAACAGCTATCTCACTTAGATACGCAAAAATGATCATCAATATATTTTTTATTACATATTTCAATAACGCAACATCGTGTTCATTTTGTTTCTATGCTACTCTTGTTTATGATTGATGAATCCAAGACACTAGTTCTATCCTGTTTGGGACTGACTCGTCAGCTAAGTGTATCTGCCTTCCTAATGAGTGATGTTATTCACAGGTGTTTCAAACTGATGAGGTCCAAATGAGACGAAACGTCCAACGTAGGTTCCAGTACTAGCCGCTATCCATCATTAATATATAATTAAAACCCAGGTAACATTGAAGTATACACAGAGAAGCTGATTTGTCAATAGAGACCGATCACAAATCCATCCATTTAAGCAACAAAATTAAATTGAGTCTTGCTATGTTGGATCGACTTAACGCCGATGCCTACGCTTGACACTGAAGATCAGATGGATGTTGGGAAATAATAAACAACAAGCAACTCTGGGAAGGAAAAAAAATATGCAGAAGAAGGGAGTGGAGATGGATTGGGCATGCACTGAGAAGGCCGACAGAGAACATCACACTCCAGGTCAGTCCCTCGAGTGGAATCCAAAGGGCGTCACCAGTGACCAGTCACCAACGAGTACCAGTGCAATGGAATTTTGAGGGAGTTGTGAGGATTTGGAAATATTTCAAGTTGTTATTCATCGTAGACTGACTGATATCAGTTGGAGACAAACAAAGGAAACCTTGGAGCACTGGACAACCAGCTGCTTCGTCCCACTAGTATGTGACTCATCAACACCACGCACCCACCACACTGCACCATCGGGAATCGAACCCAACACATTCAGGTTCCATGCCCAGCACGTCATCATTGAGACACTGGATCACTGCAGTCCAATCATCCATATTTCAAACTCATGTTAACTCACGATATAGCGCAACCACCACCCAATGTCATCGTTGACTAACTCTCCTCACAATCATCAGGCTTTCTTCCTCCAAACGACGTCAGTCAGTCTACGATGAATAACAACTTGAAATATTTACAAATCTCCACAACTACCTCAAAATTCAATTGAACTGGTGTTTACTGGTGACAAGCTTCGAGTGGTATTAGTGAAGTTGTAATGAGAAGTTGTTAGGTGTGGGTGGTAGAGTCTGATGGTCGTGAGGAGAGTTAGTCAACGATGACATTGGGTGGTGGTTGCGCTATATCGTGAGGTAACATGAGTTTGAAATATGGATGATTGGACACCAGTGACCCAGTATCTCAATGATGACGTGCTGGGCATGGAACCTGAATGTGTTGGGTTCGATCCCTGATGGTGCAGTGTGGTGGGTGCGTGGTGTTGACAAGTCGCATACTAGTTGGACGAAGCAGCTGGCTGTCCAGTGTTCCCAGGTTTGCTTTGTTTGTCTCCAACTGATATCAGTCAGTCTACGATGAATAACAACTTGAAATACATTGAAGTCGACTAAATATGCTTTGATTTTATTCATCAAGTGTAGGATTATTAATAAATCGTTAAACTGATTCATGTGTGACTGGACCCACTCCATAAACAATTAGATTTTTGTCAACTAAAGTAATTGCTTCAACACTAATGTCAAGTCAGTGCTCCTACATAGTTCAGAAACTTGGTGTGTCACGAAAGGGATTTCCAAAAAACTACAGACATTCATCAACAACTGTCTACGCTGGCTCGTTACTCAAGCTCAGATGGCCAAAACAACAAGAATAAGCAACAAGGAACTGTCGCTGGCTGGCAGGCAACGAACCAACGAAGCAAGAATCTATCGCTGAACAAATATGCACTGCAAGGAAGTGGAGATGGATTAGGCATACACTGAGAAGACCATTCGGGGACATCACGCCACAGGCGAGGCACTCGAGTGGAACCTAGATAGGAAACAGCGATTAAGTCGTCTGTGGTGAGTGTGACATGGATGAGATGGTGTGTGTTACTGAATCCCTATGTTCCACTAGGAATCCAAGGGATAAAGAATGATAATAACCCGCCAACAGAGTTGGCCAATAAACGCGTTTATTAATGACTTGAATGTACACAGACTGTTAAATTACAAACGATGGTGTTTTCGTCCATCATTCGAACTCATCAAATGTCAATAAGTTAGCTATATTTTTTGTGTATTTGTCAATATTATCTTATTTTATGATTAGTCATCCTGTTACGTTTTCCTTTCTTATTCATCGCTTAGTTATTCTACTTTAGTGCAACAAGAGCAGCTTATTTAATGGGATCAAGTGAACCACAACATAAATTACCAGATGGAACACAATATCGTTTAGTTAATCAATCAGAAATCCAACCATTAGATTCTATTATAATCAATAATTTATTCATAGATCCAATCAATCAATTTCATAGTGAAACTGGAAATGTTAAGAAATTGACTAATCATTGTATAAATATACCCAATAACACTACAAATACTAGTCGACAAGCAAAAAATTCTGTTTACACATTACCAACATTTATTGATTGGAGTGCAGTTGTACGAGATAGACATGGACCATTTTGGCCACAAGGTTATGGACCTATATGTCAAATTCTACATAATGTACACGCAGAAGAGAAAGGAAAGCTTATCAACAACAACAGTAAGTCAATTTGAAGGTTTCATTTATCATTATGATTATTTCTTCCTTGGGTTCCTGATGGAATATAGGGATTTAGTAGCACGTCACCATTTCAGGACTGTGAACAAGCTTTCATTTCTTCCTCACATGACCTCCTCTATGTTATCCTCGTCTGGGAAGCCCAACTAGTCTTTCCTCATCTGGGTCCCATTCGAGAGCCTGACCCGGCGCATGATGTCCCAGTCGGTCTTGAGTAACGAGTGAGCGTACACAGTGGTTGATGAATATCTGTAGTTTGTTGGAAATCCCTTTCGTAATGAGCCAAGTTTCTGAAACATACACAAGCACTGACTTCACATTGGCGTTGAAAATCCGGATATTGTTCATGCTTTATGCTGGGTGCAAAAGGGTCTCCACACTAGTTTCAGATTGACGAAGGAAGGCCTGTCATGCTTTTCCGATCCTGACTGGCTTTGACGTCCTCGTCTGAGCCTGTGCCGCCTGTAGTTGAAACGATGCTGCCTAGATAGGTGAAAGATACTACCTCCTTCAAGTTTCTTTCCTTGATGGTGATTGGAGCTTATTGTTGGTGGTGTTGTTGGGTATCTTCATCACCTGTGTCTTCTCTGCGTTGACTTGAAGTCCCGTTTTCGCTGCCTCTTCTGTCAACTTGTTGGTTTTTGCCTGTAGATCTTCGAGTTTGTGTGACAGTAGACATAAGTCGTCAGCGAAATCCATATCTTCTAGGTTCTTCTCCGCGGTCCAGCTTATCCCGTTGCCATTTCACTCTCTTCTCTGCAGTCTCCTAACCTGGCTCCAGTACTGTCCACAAGCTTTCATTTCTTTCCCAAACCATCCCCTTTATGTAACCCTCGGACGCCCAACTCGCCGTTTCCACTCGAAGGCCTGGCGCTTGATGTCGCCAGTTAGCCTTCTTAGTGCATACCTAATCCATCTCTACTTCCTTCCAGTGCATATTTGTTGAGCGATAGATTCTTACCTTGTTGGTTCGTTGTCAGGCCAGAGTTTCTTGTTGTTTATTCTTTCTGGCCATCTGATCTCCATATTCAGTATCGAGTGAGCGTAGGCGGCACCTGTTCATGTATAGTGTCTGCAGTTTGTTGGAAATGCTTTACGTAACGAATCTGAAGGTTTACAGAGGATTTATCTATTGACCTTGTGCTAGTATTCATCATCGATTGAGACCAGTCACAGAGAAACATTGGAAATCTGAAAACACTAGACAACAGCTCTCAGCCGTGTACACCTGTGACCAGGGCATCTACGGAACTTGTTGACCCTAGGTTCGATCTCTAGCAGACTTATGGCTGCATACTGCTGTGAAGTTCTATACTAGAACAAAGCAGTTGTTAAATACTTCCAGGTTTCCAATGTTTCTCCAACTGAAGTTAGTCAATGATCAAAATCAACCTGAAAGCGACAATAAGAGTGACTCTACCACCTAGTTTTAATTACTTTTATATAATTAACATTGTATATAGTTTTTCAAAGATTTGAAAATTTGAAAAAAAACAAGTTGACAGAAGAGGCAGAGAAGACGGGACTTCCTTCAAGTGAATGTAGAGAAGACGGAGGTGGTGACGATACCCAGCCAACGCCACCATCACCAACAACAACAAGCTCCAATCATCATCAACGGGAGAAACCTAAAGAAAGTTGTTTATTTCACCTATCTAGGCAGCATCGTTTCAACTACAGGCGGCTTCAGGCACAGACGAGGACGTCAAAGCCAGTCAGGATCGGAAAAGCATGACAGGCGTTCATTAGCCTGAAACCATTGTAGAGATCTTCTGCACTCAGCATGTGGAACAACATCCGTATTTCTAACGCCAATGTGAAGTCAGTGCTTGTGTATGTTTCAGAAACTTGGCTCATTACGAAAGGTATTTCCAACAAGCTACAGACATTCATCAACCACAGTCTTCGCTGGCTCGTTACTGAAGCTGAGATGGCGAGAATAACAAGAATAAGCAACAAGGTACTGTTGGTGGCTGGCAAGGAACCAACTAAGAACCTGTCGTTCAACAGATATCCAGAAAGAAGTGGAGATGGATTGAGCATGCACTAAAGAGACTATTCGGAAACATCACGCGTCAGGCCAGGCACTCGCGTGGGACCCAGATGGGAAATGGCAAGTTGGGCGTCCGAGGCGAGGGTGACATGGAGTAGATCATGTAACGAAGAAATGAGAGCTTGTGGGTAGTCGCTGAGTCAGGTTCAAAAGATTGTAGATAAGAGAGTGTAGTGGAGACGTGCCACTGAAGCCCTATGTTCCACTAGGAACCCAAGGGACAAATAAATAATAATAATAATATAATACACTTCATCGGTATGAAGCTGAGAAAGTGAGTATACTCAGCCTTAGACGTTAGTTTTGTGTGTATGCGTCTTAGTATAGAGTCATCTTTGTTTCTTGTCATTAGCATACCAAGAAAATGTACCGAATTATTAATTTTCCTTTTTGTATGTTGAATGAATTGATCGGCGAAGGCTGTTGAAATCGTTCAGACTGGACTTAATACACAGGCGCCTATCAAAGACTTAAAATGTATCATTCATATGCATTGACAGTTCAACTTCATATTAGCAAAAGAGATATTACTGTTGGTTAGTAACTTGCAACAGAATCCATGATAGAGATTTCTTCCCATCTGAGACTCATCAGCTGGATTTACCTGTCTCCCAGTATATGTAATGTATATATGCTCCTCCTTTACAATATTCCAAATTGTTATAATTTATTTGGTTATGGTTAGCAGAAGAATCCAGGATGTCTTCTGCCAGCAAATTATCATTATTAACAATTAGGGAATATCAAGGCATCTGGATAGGAGTACATATACCAATAGACGTCGAACAATTCGATCCAATAAAAGCAATGAAGATGCTTTTCCTCTCATATAATAGGCGTGCTAGGCAAGGTAGGCTCAGTCGAATTGTTGTATTTAGCTGTATGAGTGTATAGTTTTATGTGAATGCTTCTTGTTCTCCTTGAAGAGATACATGATGACAGCTGAATGTTCAGTAGCTACATGTCTGCTGGGATTTAGACGCCTTTTAACTAGAGTATTAATCAATTGAGCCAGAGGCACATCACTCACCCTACTGATGACTTCCAAAGCCCTGAACAATATAACATAGTCCTTGTTTTGTAGTCGGCAAACGAAAAATTTTCTTGGAAGTCAATAGGCTATGAGACGACCAACAAATATTTGAGGTAATACTCTATTCAAGCCAGTTAACACTCGATTTACTTGCTGTAGAAATACCATAATTGTTGAAACAGGCGTTATAGAACTTAAACAGTTCACACAAGTCCCTTGGATTCTTAGTGGAACATAGGGATTCAGTAACACACACCATCTCATCCATGTCACACTCACCACAGACGACTTAATCGCTGTTTCCTATCTAGGTTCCACTCGAGTGCCTCGCCTGTGGCGTGATGTCCCCGAATGGTCTTCTCAGTGTATTCCCAATCCATCTCCACTTCCTTCCAGTGCATATTTGTTCAGCGATAGATTCTTGCTTCGTTGGTTCGTTGCCTGCCAGCCAGCGACAGTTCCTTGTTGCTTATTCTTGTTGTTTTGGCCATCTGAGCTTGAGTAACGAGCCAGCGTAGACAGTTGTTGATGAATGTCTGTAGTTTGTTAGAAGGGTTTAACTTCAGACCATTTGAGAGAGACGTTTAAATTCAGAGCAATCTAAATAAGAGTTGACTAGAATAGACACCGTCATGTAATCAGCATACTGAATAAGATTACTTTCAATAGATTTAGGCAAATCATGCAAAAAGAACGAGAAGAGGAACGGAGAAAGTACACCACATTGAGGCACATCTGCTCTAGTAAACAATGAACTGGACCGCTTTACTTTACACAGACAGTACACTGTTTCCTTTCAGAGAAATAAGAATACACCCAGTTTGTAACCCATAGCTCAGTATGAAACTTGGAGAATGATTAAAATATGATACCAGAAACGATCAATTATGGAATATTATTCATCTGGAAGTGATGTTCATAGTTGAAAACCAGAGAATTAAGAAAACTTTTCAGGAATATCTTATCTTCAGTAATTCTCCTACTGATACTCATTTCTTAACAGAACTACATTATTCTGATGCATTCCACGATATTTTTACAGTCGTCTTAAGGTATTACAAGTGAGTAAAAGAGTCTAAGAATTATGAACAAGGTGCATCCATTACTCCAACCGGTGGGGATCCAACCTCTCAACCTTGATACCAACTGACGAAATATGCCCATTTATTCATTAACAGGAAAAGGCGTGTATGAGTGAAGAAGAAGCATTTCTCTATTCAACAACTTCATTATCAAGCTGTACAGTCGTATTTATACTCAATAAAATGACAATAATACCACTAAAAAGAGACTTGCTCAGTCAATATCCATAAAATGAAATCGGTGTAGTTGGCGGTATCTGGACAAATAGAAGAGATAGGAAATGGATCACTGTGAAAAAGGAGGGACGAATTGAGAACAAAGGTCAATGAACAATGAATCAATTGATAGTAAATAGTGAAATAAGGTGGAATGCTCTCAATGAAGTGAAAATTGATGATGATGATGATGATGATGATGACCCATTTTCTATCTCTTCCACCTGAACAAATACCACCACCTACACCGATTGTATATTTTGCATATGGACTGAGCAAGTCTCTTTTTAGTGGAATTATGTGTCATTTTACTGAGTATAAATACGACTGTACAGCTTAGGATATTGAAGTTGTTGACTAGAGGAATGCTTCTTCTTCACTGATGCATATCTTGATATCATACAATGAGTACATTGCCATTGGAGTTTATGAGTCGAATGTATTGATTGGTTGATTTTATGTTGCTTAGATAAGTACAAATTGATATCAGTTTGAGAAGCAATGAAGACTTGGAGTTTCGTTTCATCTCACTATCAGACTCTTCAGCTGTTTAAATCATACTGTTAGGTTATATATTTAGTTAAAAACTATTTCCAAAAATTGTTTCTAGATCTACTCGGTTTGTGTAGAATAAAATTATTTTCATTAATCATCATCTTGACCATTTCTTCTTCAATAGATAAGTCATCACTGCCAGATTATACAGAAGAACTGAATCAACTGCGTGGCAGACAAACTTTATTCAAAGGTATACAAGTAGTCTACGATTCAGAAACCAGTCCATATCTTTTAGAGTCACAAGATTCATCATCATCATCATCATCATCATCATCATCATCAGGTTCAGTTAACATGCATCAGTTAATCAAAGATACCGAGGATATAAACCAGTGGTCACCACCGTGTTTAATATTTGAGTCAAGATTTGAGTCGGGCAATTTACGACAAGTTAGACGAATGTAAGAATTCAGTGTTACTTTTCTTAATGATCATTTTGTTTAACTTATTCAATCGATTCCCCAATGTACAGTAAACTTAAAGTAACGTGCTGGTCATAGAACCTATAGGTGGCGGGTTCGACCCCTGGATAGCGGGGTAGTGGGTGTGCACTGCTAAGAAGCCCTATACTAATTGGACGAAACAGCTGTCAAGTGCTCCCAAGTTTCCTTTATTCCTTTCCAACTGATGTCGTTCAGTCTATGATGAATAACAACTTAAAGTCGAATAAGTGAAACGTCTCTTCTGTAAACTCAATCAGCTCACTTGCTTCTGTAGGTCACATTAGCCTGAGTTTTAGTCAGTCGTCGACAAATAGCGACTTATACATCTGATCTGCAGTATACAAGTAACAAAGGTGTAATTCCATTTTGATCTGTTTATCAAAAATATCACATACATAATGAAAGGACAATATCATTTACTGAATAACGTTTTGGACACAAAATCTATTGTTCATATTCATAACAGGTAACTAACTCAACAACTTCCAGACAAAGGTTATATAGTCCAACAATAGCACAAGTCGAAAAAGCAGTCGATAACCTGAAAAGAGGTAAGGCGGCAGGACCAGAAGGACTAACTCCAGAGGTATACAAGGATGGTGGTAAGGTGCTCTTTGTCAGGTTCACGGAAGTGTTAACCAGTATATGGGAATCAAATACGATCCCCTCTGACTGGTCTGAATCACAGACTATTCGAAACTTCAAGAAAGGCGGGAAGTTCTTTTGTGATAACCACAGAGGAATAAGACTGGCGAACATACTACCCAACATCATAGATGCTATAATTCTCCGACGCCTGACTAGAGCTCGGGAACAACAAAGTCCGAGAAAACCACTCACGATTTAGAAACAGTCGTGCATGTATCCATCTAATATTCACACTCCAACAGGTTCCGGAACATAGAAACGCTTACCGACATCCAACAACAGCTGTATTTCTCGACCTGAAGGCTGCATTCAACTCTATTCATCGAGAAGTCTTATGGCAATGTGTCTCACTGAAAGGCGTGCCTAGTAGGTACATCACCTTATTGAAGGCTCTCTACTCAAACACTTGTGGATGTGTTAGAGTTTATGATGAGATGTCCAGGGAGCTATCCTCATCGAGTGGTGTCCGTCAAGGGTTCCCAATGTCTTCATTCTTATTCAACTTTATTATAGATATTCTTATGGAGGTCTCCCGCTCATCACTAGGTTACACAGAGGTTGGTCTAATCACAGGAGAATTTTCGTTAGACCTAGAATATCCAGGTGACATTGTCCTGTTAAGTGAAGACTCTGACGACATACAAAGTCTTCTGAACACTGAGTAGCGATTTGAGAATGTTTGTGATGGATTTTCCATCACGGAAATGCAAATTATTGCTACATGACTGGTCTTCAACGGTGGTCCACCGTGGCTAACAATAGAGAATGTAGTGATTGAGTGTGTCGACCCCTTCATTCACATGGGAAGTGGGATAAACCCTGGTGGCTCAGTGACTGATGAGTTCTCTGCACGAATAAAAAAGGCTCGGATGGCTTTGGCCAATTACGCCACCTATGGCACCACCACCGTGATATCCGATTGTATATTAAGAGTTGAGTGTACTGCACAGTAATCCGCTCTGCTGCACAGTATGCCCACGAAAGTGGAAGACATGAGAAGGCTTCAAGTGTTTGACCACTCCTGCCTTCGTAGTGTCGGCCGTATTCCGCGGGTGTCACCACACCATGTGAGTAATGCAGAAGTCGGATGTTGAGTTTTAAGGAGGGAGAAAAGTCAAATCAGTTGATGAGGTCGTCAACTTTCATCGACTCAGATAGGTGGGACGCGTATTACGTATGCCTAGTCACCGTCTAACTCATCAAAATGTTAGCCGAAGTAGGTTGAAGCTGGAAAAGGGCTGTTGGCTAGAGGCATCTAGACTAAAACATGACACCAATGTATGAAGTGGCTGACTGTTGGTTTGAGCCGTGTAATGTGGGGTGATGGAGACCAGGTGGTTGGGGTCCACGGGACAAAAGAAACCAATGGTTGGAGACTGAGTGTAGGTGAGGACATGACTGACAACCGATGTCAGTGGCTCAGATATATCCACACACACACACACACACACACACACACACACACACACACACACACACACACACACACACACACAGACATTATCCCCATCTTGAAGAAGCCACACCGAATCTCATCATTTCCTCATCCTTCGTTTCTCTCTTTGAGTACTTCAAATCTCATCTGACTGAGTTTTCTTATCTTCATCTTGCTCCTAACTACCTTTGTACTTGATGTAGTGAAATGAGGTGTGGCAACTCGGACTGTTACGGAGTAATGTCTGGTTTTAGGGTTGATCTGGATGGATGATGATGACAAGAGTAGTGAGATCTTTTATATATCTGAGATAGGTTCAGAACTATCCCTTCTACTGCATGTATTTAATGTTGACTCAAGAAACAAAGGTTCAGTAGGTTATACATCTCTCTCTCTCTCGCACGCCTTTCTCTTCATTCAACCAACCAACTTAGTTTTCAATAATGTCTCTGTATCCCTTCCTACTGTGTGATTGCGTACAACATATTATCTTATTACGATCTACTAATCTTGATACAGTTAAGAATTTTATCCTCTGTTATTCTAAGTGATCCTGGCTGGTCGACTACTTTCATCTATATATCTGACCTCACAGATGTTACAAGATATTGAACACACCAGATATTTTGCCCATGTCGGATAAATAGAATCTTGTAATCTAAAAAGCTAGATTGTGAGCTAGTTTTCCTTGGTTTCAATACCACTTTAATGCCAGACAGCCTAACTGAGAATTCTTCATAACACCTACGAGATGCCTTCGTTGTATAGTAATACAACACACTGTCAACATTGTCAATACCATTATTACTACGATTATTATTATTATTACTTATATTGTTATTAGTATCAACATATTGGTTTATTTAGGTGGGTCGTCACTCAGACGTAAGGTATTCTTGATGTGTACAATTTCTCGCCGAAGGTTTTCTATCCTACTGCCTATGTAAGCTTTCTTACCTTATCACTTAGGCATTTAAATAGACCCGCTTTAACTCAGATGGTGTGGGTGAGGTGATTTGAAGTCTTATTAGCGATTCGAATGGAAGGGCTTCCTATAGACGAAGCTAGTCTCTAAACTTCCGTCTTGTTTTCGTTTGATCTTACAATCCAACTTTACTAGTTCACTTTCTAAGTCATAGGTAAATTGCATTGCCTTCGCTACTGAATTTATATGTGTCAAGACCCTATTGATGTTCTTGGTTGTATTGTGTTCGCTGGGCTGGGTTGTTTACTCGTGTACCTTTCATCGTCTTTCTAGACAGTGACATCATCAGCACTAACTTCATTATGAAGTGAGCTACCTGTCAGTATCACTCCGTGAGTGATTTAGTAGCTTTTCCTGATCAACTGGTTGGTGACTGATTGTCTCCTTTGATTGTTGTGTCATTGACTGACTCCATAGATTTTCCTGTCAACTGTTCCTCTGCTTGACCTCTCACCTTTGTGTTCTTCATCATTTTCTTATTGGTTGATAGATTGGGTCAATGTCTATACATCTATTGATTACTGATTGATTGACCTGAATCTCAAGCTTTTAGGAATTCTCTGATGATATTCTTTGTGTTTCCTCTCTCCGCCAAACATTTCTACATTGTCGAAATTGAATTCATGTCCATAGTTGTTATCCACGTGCATTGAAATGAGTGACGAAATGTCATGGTGTTTAATAACCAATCGGTGCTCATGTAGATAAAGGCGAAGGTGGGGCGACCACTTTGTCCAATGTAGTGTTGACTACAGTCATTGCATTCAGGTCAGTCAGTCAGCAATCAACAGATGTATAGACATAGACCCAACCTGTCAACCAATAAGAAAAATGATAAACGACAGAAAGGTCAAAGGTGAAGCAGAGGAACAGCCAACAGGAAAGTCTATGGAGTCAGTCAATGACACAACAATCAAAGGAAACAACCAATCACAGACCACATCATCAGAGCAAGCTACACAATCACTCACGGAGAGATATTGACAGGTAGCTCACTTCATACTGAAGTTGGTCCTGATGATGTCGCTGTGTAGAAAGACGATGAAAGGTACACGAGTAAACCATCCACCTGAGCTACAAATATTCTCCACTACCTGCAGATGTGTTCCGATTTCAGTATTGTAAACGTATCATCTACATATCGCAACCATATCTTTGGAGTAGAGACCAATTGTTTGAGGGGCCACCTGTTCCCAACTATCCATAAATAAGTCTGCAACGATATGTTTACATAGTTTACTTTGAAACTTGAAAACTGTAGATGTTAGGCACAATCGTACTCCTAACCTGATTTCCTTGATCACCACCTTAGTTCGATGCGTAAGTTTATTGTCATCTTTAAGACCATTTCTAACTGCCTGTACAACCTTGTTGATCGGCATAGTTGTGTAAAGGCTAGTTATGTCAAAACTAGCATTATTACTTAGACAACTTGTTTCTACTTGGGTTTGTTGGTTTCAATGCTGCTCTAATGTCAAACGGCCTTATTGATAAATCTTCGTAATGTCTCTGACATGACTTTATTGTAAGGTAACACAACAGTAGCATTGAACTGTCTCTCCAATTCTGTCACCACTGCGACTGCCTTTATTATTATTAGTAGTACCATTATCATTAATAATATGACTTTGTCGGTAAATTTGGGTGGGTCATTACTGAGACGTTTAAGGTATTCTTGATGTGTACAATCGCTCGCTGTATTTAAGTCAGACTACATTAACTGAGATAGTGTGGGTGAGATGATTTGAAGTTTGAGTAGTGATTCGAATGGGAAGATTACCTAGATACCGTGTGATAATTCTAATAAACAGACTACAAATTGAATTAAAATCTACCACACAAAGACCGAATTCTTCTTCTCCATCAACAAAAGTGTAGTCTGGATGAGAT